ATCAAACATTCTCTGTAACTTGCTTTTCCCACTTAAACTGGAGACATCTACCCACATGTGTCTCTAGATTTACTGCCTTCCCTTCGATGCTGTTACATGGATTGTGTGTTGTACATCACTGTACCTATACCTCAAGTATGTAAAGCCATATCCATTAGAATAGCATGTTGGATGGGGTGCCTGGGTGGCTCAGACAGCTAAGCATCTGACTCTTGGTTTCAGCTCAGGTCATGATCTCGGGGTCATGAGATAAGAGCCCTGTGCCGGCTCCGTGTTCTGTGTCTGCTTGAAGATTCTCTCTCTCCCTCTCTCTCTGCCTCCCCTTCTCGATTGCTTGAACATGTGCGTGTGCGTGCTCTCTCTCTCTTAAAAAAAAAAAAATAGTGTGTTGGAGTGGGTATGCACATTTAAATTATTTATAGCTATTTCCAAATTGCTCTCCAAAGACATTACTGATTTATACTCTGATTTCTATTTTTTTTCTGTTTGACACTTTTAAAGCCTTACCTTCAAAACGCTGCCTATTAGAATGAAGAAAAAGACATTGAAGTGTTTTCTTTACAAGTTTTATTAGGGGTTTCAAATACTCCCCAGATGGGGGTATTTGGCGGCTCGGTCAGAAGAGCATGCGACTCTTGATCTTGGGGTCATGAGTTCGAGTCCCACATTAGGTGTATTTATTACTTAAATAAAAATTTTAAAAACTGACTAAAAATTCCCCCCCAGATAATCTTTTTTATTCTGATCATTTGTTTGTGGGTCTTTGTCATATTGACTTCTGGTTGTTCCTGCTAATATCAGCTTAACAGTTCTGCTTCTTGGGTTTTGCCAGAATTGCGCTGGTCAGAGCCCATTCACGGCAGGACTGTGGGGCCAGTCCCACCTCTGGTGGTCATCCAATGAGGATGTAGGCAGAGAGTGTCACTTCTGTGGAGGAAGAAGTTACTTCTGCAGGCTCATCTCTACCCCCAACATCCTGAGAGTGTCAAGAACTCACCTGTTTGAACATTGTTTGACTCATTCAGTAAAGAGCTTGATAATCCTGGGGCACCTGGCTAGCTCAGTCAGTAGAGAGTATGACAACTTACTCTCGGGATTGTGAGTTTGAGCCCCCTGTTGGGTGAGGAGATGACTTAAAGATAAAATTCTTAAAAAAGAAGGGTGCTTTGATGGCTCAGTTGGCTAAGCGTCCAACTCTTGATCTCAGCTCAGGTCTAGATCTCTCGTTTGTGAGTTCAAGCGCCGTGTTGGGCCCCGCCCTGGATATGGGGCCTACTTTAAAAAACAAACAAAAAAGCTCGATACTCCTACTGCTTACTCTGCAAAGGGGCTCAGAGCAAATTGTGGGCAGTCCTGTGGAGGAGGAAGAGGAACGGAGAAGTCTGGTAGTTTTTTTTGCAATGCTTTAGCTGCCATTTTGGATATTTTCTCTTCTTAGAGGAATGAGAGGAAAACACTGTTGCTGGAAGCACTGAGATTTTTTTTTTTTAAAGCTTGTTGAGTTGTAATGTGGTAATACTTTATAGGAGTAAACTCTGGCTGACCCACTCAAAGGATATAAGCTTGAAAACATTAAGGGTTTTGATTTGCTCAAAAGAGGCGTTTACGCTTTTTGAAGCACAAATCCAGTGGGAATTGAGGTTTGCTGGTGCTCGCTGTGTTAAGTGCAGAGAGCATGTCTTTCAAGTCTAATGTCTATCTCAGGAGTCAAGGTTCTATAACCATATTTGTACAAGTGTAAAAGTAAGTTCAAAAGGAATGGAAAAAGCTGTGTGAAAGAATAGTAGACATTTCCTCTTTCTTTCTTGTTTGGAAACTTGAATCCTGATGACTGCTTTCTTCCCTGAATTAGATGGCCCTCATACCTCATACCTCATCTGGCTCCAACATTCCCATTCCCTGTCACTAAGTTGTGTCCTTGCCTCTCTGTGTTTACCTCGGCATAACTGATAAATAAATCCTTCTCTTCTGTGGGCATTTGAATTATAGACAAAAGAGAGGATGACTGAGGACAAGCCAGACATGTATTAAAAAGCATGTAATTCTCGGGACACTGTGGCTCAGCTGGTTAAGTGCCTGACTCTTGGTTTTCTGCTCAGGTCATGATCTCAGGGTCATGAGGCTGAGCCCTCGGTTGGGCTCCGTGCTCAGCAGGGAGTCTGCTTGGATAGTCTCTCCCTGTGCCCCTCCCCTCCAATAAATAAAGCCTAAAAGCGTGTGTTCTCCCCCTTTTACAAATGCTTATGAATATATATATACACGTAAAGATAGGACTTTAATGTTAAGGAACAGTGGGTTTGATTTCTTACCATTTGAGGTGACTTTAACTTACTGGTAGCTCTCAGAAGCACCTGAATCTTTAACAATAGTATAAATTATATAAATGGTTGGGGATGGGGAAAAAAAGCAAACACTCTTTTTGTCGCAAAAAAAAAAAAATATCCATCTACAAGGACACATGAGATTTTGTAAATAGCATCTCTAAATGAAACATAGAATGGTGGAAATAATCCGAATATGGTTAGGGATGAAGCCCCATTTTTGTTGTGGAGGGTTGGTCTGTCATGGGATTTGAATGCTCACTGGAGATTGAGCTTGGATGGTCCCCTTGCATTGAGACCCAAGCTATGAATATAATAACGTTGTCTCAAAACTCAGTTTTAATAATGGTCCCTGTCATCAGTTGTCTGCTACCAAAGTTAATACATCAAGTGCCTTTTGGAAGTAGAGACAGTTGCCCTGTGGTCCCTGGGAATAAGTAATCCATAATTATCACACTTTGTATATAAGGAGGGCTAGCAGCGATCTCCGATTTTAAGACTCATTTGATGTCATTTAATGTGCTTTGTTATATGTAAGGGTAGAGGAAAGTTTGTTTCTGAATCCTATAGGTCTTTCACGTTTAAAGACAAAGACAGTTTGGCTCCCGGTTAAGGTAACTTGAGTTTGACAATTCATAAAGAATTATGAGACGTCTTTCAAGAATTATAGAAATTCTCTAGGACTCTAAACTCTGTAAAACTTGAGACTTCTGGTGACTAAACAAGGGGCACGGTTTATTGCGTTGAAAAATGGAGGCATTAAACCTGCTTTCCCATGATCCCCACTTAGTTTGCCATATCATGGTGCATACGTAAGCGTTTTTTTAGGTTAGATTCATTGTGTTTCCATGGATCCCATATGTGTTCCCTGCTTTCGTCCTCTAGCTCTTCTTCACGTTATTAATCAAATCTGAGCCTGACGTGTTCACATAACTAGTGATTTTTAGTCCAAATACTCTTCAACGCTGACATTTTTGCTAATGGGCGTTGTGAAGACCTTCCCCTCCCCCTGCTTTTGTCTTTAGGTTTCACTTAAGACTCCTGTCTTTCATATTTTGGTAAGAGAAGACGTAAAGTGGAAATGTAATCTGAGTATTCTGTCTAATAAATAGACTCAGCATGGGTATTTTGAAGCCAACTATTCTTTCTGTAGAGTAAGTATTAAAGTACAGTGGTATTATTTCAGGAAGCAGCTCATGCCGTTGAAGGACAGCTTTGCTGGGAGCTGGGAACAGCTAGGTGAAATCAATTTAGCTCAGTTCGAGTCTTCTGGATTGACTGTCTTGAACCTGCTGTCCCTTCAAGCCTCCAATCGAAGTCAGTGGTTTGGCCAGGGTGCTCCGTTCGCCTGGAAACATCATTGAGTCATGCCAAGTAGAGTGCCGTGGTTTAGAGATTTCTTTGGAGTAGGCAGGTCTGGGTACTATGGAATACTCTTAATGGCGTTTTATCATTATGCATAGCAACAGGTCCTTCCATAATCTCTAATGCCGTGGGAAAACCCTGGAAGTCGTTATTGATGAGTGCTGGCCTTCGGGCCATGGTGAATCCCTTCTAGGCTGTGGGGCCTGTGGCCAGCCAACCCCAGCCTCTGATCACACTGAGGTCCAGTGTCCTCTTCTGTACAATGGAAATGCTACCACCCGCCTAAGTTGGTTTTGATAAAATGAGAAATGTATACGAACTGTAAAGCTTTGTTGAAATCCTGGCATTCCTAATAGTTATTATACTGTTTTTTGCCGTACCCTCAAAACTTTTTACCTATATTCTCAGGATTTACAAAATGATGGACGGGCATATCTATATGTCTACTGTTGTTGCAATGGAAAACATCAATTGCACAGGCTATCCTCTGGGGTAGAGGACAACTGATCATTTTAGTAATATTGTAAGGAAAAATCAGTGACTCACAAAAGCACGAGTGACCCATGTCTTTGTGTTGTCTCTGGGTACACTGGTCTTTGAACCATGGGGTTCCTAATTCACCTCCCTTCTCTGCTTCCCCATACCCTTTGTCACACGCCCATCCTGTGGGGACTGAGATTTAGCTTTATTTGTACTTCCTCCTCTGTTGGTGACTGGCTCTCGTATTCTTCCATCATGACCGTTGCCCTAATTGTTTAGTTCCATGTCTGTCCTTTTTCCTGAGAAGGACACATTGCCACTTAGGTATACTTTGGTCAAATATGCATACCCTGCATCCAATCACAAGGAAACATTGTTTAAAGAAAAAAAAATTTTTTTTTTTTTTTTTTTAAGTAGCTCCATACCCAGCGTGGAGCCCATCCCTGGGCTTGAACTCACAACCCTGAGATCAAGACCTGAGCTGAGATCACCAAGAGTCAGTTGCTTAACCGACTGAGTCATCCAGGTGCCCTGAAAAAAACAATTTTTAAAAGTCTACTTTTCTTAGTAGTCTGTAAGCTCAAAGGGGCTGGGGCCACACCTGACTTACTCATTGTTATATCTCGAATAGGCCTGGAATGGTGGGTGTGTAGATCATGCCTGGTGTTTGGATAAGTGGAATGGTGTGCTCATTGACCCAGATACAAAGCCCTACCTGCTTGATAAGAGCTCGTGGGGTGCCTTCTGTAAGGTAGCTGGATCCTCCAGACTAATGACTTAAAATCTTCATCATCACTGAAAGTAAGTTTACATGGTTTTGTTTTCTCCCCGTAGCTCCTACAGAAGAATGGTCAGCTGTCTAGTGCCAATGGCTTAGCTGAGGAAGAAGAGTTCAGTCCCCAGGAGGGAGCCCTGAATGGCCAGGAGGAAGAAGCCACTGTCACAGATGGTAAGCGCCTTTTCAGTCTCTGGGCAGAAGAAGTAGGGACTCTAGGGCTGACAATACCTGCTATGAATCTGCTGAAACAATAAAAACTAGCCTGGTTGGACCATACAGTGGTCCTGCCTGGGGGTGGATGAGGTTGACAACAAAAGCAATCCATTGGTTGCAAAAGGAAGTTTTTTGTTTTTTTTTTTTTAAAGATTTTTATTTATTTGACAGAGACACAGCGAGAGAGGGAATACAAGTAGGGGGAGTGGGAGAGGGAGAAGCAGGCTTCCCGTGGAGCAGGGAGCCCGATGCGGGGCTCGATCCCAGGACCCTTGGGACCATGACCTGAGCCGAAGGCAGACGCTTAACGACTGAGCCACCCAGGCGCCCCAGGAAGTATTTATCAGACCTTTTGGGTGGCCTCAACACTCAGGTATAGGAAGTTCTGCCAATATCTGGGTATAGGAAATGTAGTCATGTTTCGTCTTTCTTAGATGTTTTTGTCTGGAACTTAGGTTGGTGGTGTTTTGTTTTGTTTTAATTGTTGCCTGGTCGCAATTAGTTGTCTGGTATTGATGTGAATTCTTGTTGGAAACCCCAGAGTCGTGGTTGCTTTAAGAGTCGGTATCTCTCGCTCTGGCGAGAAGCCTGCTCCCCTTGCGCAGATTTTTCTAGAAGTGTATTTTTCAGGATGCATGCCGCTCTTTGCCCAAACTGTGATTTGCTGCATGTTTTTTTAGCTCTTGAGCCTAGAGGCCCCGTAGGCATGGTTATGGGAAAGTGAATCACCACATTGTCACTAGTTCGAGTCAGCCCACGTGAGGTCACAGGGACCACACCTTCGGGTCAGAAGCAGGCACCTTGACTGGTAGGCCTCAGTCGAAGCGCCCCGGGTTGAAGAAGAAACGTCCTCTGCTCTCGAGTTCTTGTCTCATCATTCCGTTCAATCATAAACAGAGGAGTAATTTAACAACCACTATCGAGGATGCATAAAAATGATGATTTGGCATGGAGTGAAGTGAGTCTTCCAAGCAATGTGAATTAAGACAAATGAAGGGGAAAGTCCCAGGAGAGGAGACTGGCCATTGCCTTGGTTAAATGAGACTCCTAACATGTGGAACCTGTTTCTCCTCTTGTTCAATGCCCCCATGGAGCTGCTTCAAGCCGCGAGCTGCTTTTGAAGTTGGTGGGAAGACTGATCTTTATATATAACACCACAGGCACAATATAAAGTTAGAAATATATACAGTCTCACAGAAGGGAGGATTTGCATGACCTAGTGTGAAAGTTTCAAATCATCTCCACCAAAAGAATTGGAATGGCCCCAGCTCAAATTCCAAAGTCCCATGCTTTGTCCTTCCCATGGCAACTTTTGAATCCAGTCAAGCCACAGCAGGTCTGGAGCCTTCTCTGGCCAAGCCACTGTGCTCAGTGCTGCAGGGAAGATGAACAGACTGACAAACAGCCCACCACTTACCCATTGCAGGGGAGAGGAAGCGGGTCTATAGACGGATACACAAGATAAAGGGAAGGGTTAAGACAGGGTAACATGGTGGGTATCAGATGAATTTGCAAGAAATGAGAGGTGCTCTGAGTTCTGGTGGTGCAGTCATTTGAGGTCAGAGCGTGGGTAAGATCTGGGGACTGGGGGAGATCTGGGACTGGGAGAGATAAGGGTTAGATTTGTTGACAAGGGATGGGGGCCAAAGTGAGGAGAGTAATAACAGCCAACACTTTGCAAGTTTTTACTTTGGGTCCTGGAACTCTGCCTTTTGTGCATTATGGTCTTTGATGAGGTAGGTAATATCGGTGTCAAGATTTCAAACCCAGGTCAGCAAATTACCTAGCACAAGCTCTTAACCGCTGTGCCTTCACCGTGCTGGGCATGTCCACAGGTTTGTCTATTGGCACAGCGTCATCTGAGCAAAGAGTAGAATGAAAACCCAGAGAGGCAAGTGTGCTAGGTAACAGGGCTGTGAAAGCAAATATTTGGTAGCCATGTGGGATCACTGACGTATGCCTATCGAGGGAGCCCCTGGGTCAGGCAGGCTTCCTCTATGATGGTGATGTATGTGATTGAGAAGAGAAGGTAGAGAAGGAGAAAAGACAGGCCTTAGCAGATGATTATTTCCATGGTCTCCCTGAGCTGACCCAGGCTTCTGATCGTGGCCTTGGGGCTCTGAGCAAATAGCAAAGATTTCTTGCAACAAGAGTGGTAGTTAATATACCTTGTCCTTCAAAAGATCCTGAAAAGGCCTTGTCACCTAGGAAAAGACTGGTGGGTATCCTAGGGCTGCAGAGGTTTCCACCCCAGGCCCTGCCTTTAGGATGAGCTTTTAGGCGGAAGGAACTATTAATCCATTGGCTTATTAGCATCTGTAATAAGCTTGGTGCACTTGTTTTTTTCTTCTGCCTTTTGCCTGCCTGGCATTGTAAACACGGATACTTTTTCATGCCTTTTTTTTTTTTTTTAAAGATTTATTTATTTATTTGAGAGAAAGAGAGAGTGGGGGAAGGGGCAGAGGGAGAGAATATCCAAGCTGACTCCCGCTGAGTGCGGAGCCCGACACAGAGGCTCAGTCCCATGACCCTGAGATCACGACCAAGAGTTGGACGCTCAACCAACTGAGCCACCCAGACGCCCCTTTTCATGCTTTTCTTTTGACTACAGTAATAGCCTATGGTTAGATTTTATGGTTACTTCCAGAATTTCCTTCTACACAGAAGCTTACTAGGATGTATAAACAAAGGCATAATTTAGTATGTAACACTTAATCGTAGGATTGCAGGGACCTTGGTTTCTACTACTGTCCACATCAGTAAGAATAGATCTGACCCATCTTCTTCCCTAGGAGGATTGACCAACAGTGGGATTTGGTCCTGCCATACGTGGATCAGTTCATGGGAGAAAACTATGAACAAGGGGCGTTCCTGCTAGAGGGTTTTTAATTTAAAGTGGCTGACTGTATTTAGACAAAGCCAGATATGAAAATATTTTCTGACTTTGACTTGTTTGCTTTCTTTCTGAAACCGGACACACTGGTAATTCAGAACCATTCCTCTTCCTGTAATGAAAATGGAATCCTGTTTCCTTGTAAACTTTCCTCAAATGACAGAAGATAGGAACTGCCTCCTAAATAAACACCTTCTAATCTGTGCATCAGGGTTAGAAATGTATACGGCAATTTTGGAGAGGACTTGAAGATTATATAATTCCATGGGCCATCTTTTAGAAGGTACACAATCAGGGTTGAGAACAAATAATTATTGAAAAAAAAAATGGGACCCCTGGGTGGCTCAGTCGGTTAAGCCTCTGCCTTTGGCTCAGGTCATGATCTCAGGGTCCTGGGATCGAGCCCCGCATCCAGCTCCTTGCTCAGCAGGGAGCCTGCTTCTCCTTCTGTCTGCCGCTCCCTGTTTGTGCTCTCTCTCTCTGACAAATAATGAAATCTTTAAAAAAAAAAAATGAAAAAAATTCACAGTAAATTACTTTAGCCTTGGCGGTTTTGTCCTTCTGAATTTTTTAAGGTGATTTACCGTTTATTAAAACTGCTTCTGTCCAGCAGCAGCCTTTTCCCAACTAGAAAGTTCTTTCATGCCATGCTATTTCCGGCATTCACAGGGGTCATGCAAGTGCTGTTAGTTTTGTGGAAAATCTGCTTTTGTTGAAAGATTTTAAAAAAGCCCCCTTCATCCCAAACTGTCATTTTTCTATAGTCTGTGGCCCCTGGATTTTCTATGAGTTAAATGCCTCTACACAAATGATTTTTAAAACATTACATGTGGATCCAGGTCCAATTTTATATTTAAAACTTTTGCAAATTAAAAACTCAGATTAATTAAAAAATTTAACTTTAATATCTGTTGCACGCATTTTTCCCCCAAACAGATGGGAAAATTCAGTATTACCAAATAAAAAAAACTTAAGACCTTCTTTGTTTGGATACTATATATTTTTAAAGGTTTTATTTATTTATTTATTTCACAGAGAGAGAAAGAGAGAGAGACAGCAAGAGAGGGAATACAAGCAGGGGGAGTGGGAGAGGGAGAAGCAGACTCCCCGCCGAGCAGGGAGCCCGATGGGAGCTGGATCCCATGAGATCATGACCTCAGTTGAAGGCAGACGCTTAATCAACTGAACCACCCAGGCGCCCCTGGATAATATGTTTTTTTATTAAAGTGCCTACTCAACTCATTGCCATGTGCAAATACACAGGTGATTGTCTCTGATCTTAATAATTTGAATTTATCATTTACAAGGCAGTTTCTTGTTTCTTTTTGAGATTTGCCTCTCTGCAAAGTGGATACAGCAGATGTTATAAAGCAGGTGAACGCCATGATTCCTCATCTCCCTAGGTCATACTGTTTGTATGAACAAACAACAGTCATTTCCTTGGTTTTTTAAATTTTTGTTCACATGTGCTTTATATTATTTGCATACCCAGAGTGTGAGGACATTTACCCCAGAAGCAATGGAGTGGTTGTGGTGCTCTGCCCTTGGCATTTGCCACTCTGGGGCCAACTGCATTAAAAGTAGCAGTCAGCTAGCCAGGCAGACAGGCTTTGTTGTGCTGATCAGAATGATGAGGAGGAGGGCGCCTGGGTGGCTCCGTCCCTTAAGCATCCAGCTTTTGATTTTGGCTCGGGTCATGTTCTCAGGGTCCTGAGATTGAGCCTTACATGGGACTCCCCGTTCCCAGCAGGAAGTCTGCTTGAGATTCTCTTCTCCCTCTCCCTTTGCCCCAACCCCACTCTCTCTCTCTCTCTCTCTCTCTCTCTCTCTAAAATAAATAAATAAATAAGTAAATCTTTAAAAAATGGTGAGGAGGGTCACTACTACAAATGGCAGGCAATCCTGGGAAAAACCCTCTAAGATCCCAAGCAAAATTTAAGAACAGGAAAACCCCCAAATGTTGTCACTTAAAACAGAAGTCTTTTAGAGTGTTTCTTACGTTCTGCAGGATTCTACTTTTTCTACCTCTAGATACTATCCCCCAGCTACAGTAACGAAAATGGAG